TTTTTTTTTTTTTTTGTACCAGGGATCAAACTCGGGTCCTTGCACTTGCGCAGCAGGCAGTGAAACCACTGAGCTAAATCCCCAGCCCTTCTTTGTGAGTTTTTTGATTATTGAGTCAATCTCTTTATGCTATAGGTCTATTCAGATTTTCAATTTCTTCCTGAACTAGTTTTATAGTGTGTGTTTCTAGGAATTTGTCCACTTCCTCTTGGTTATACAGTTTTTTGACATGATTGTTTACTATTCTTGCTGTCTTTTTGGTCTGCTTGCTCTTCCCGTTATTAAATGTTATTAACCTTCCAGTGTTAAAATCTCCAACCAGTTTACAAATATGTTTTCTTCTGGTTTTGTCAAATCTTGTCTTCTGTATTTTGAAGGTATGCTATCTGTATATACTACAGGTTTATAATCATGAAAATATTCCTTTGTATCATCATGAAAATATTCCTCTTTATCTCTAGTAATCTCTATCTCTTCTTACCTTCCAATCCATCTTAAAGATATTAGTGTAACTATACTGTAGTTCTTTTGTTAGTTGCATAGTATATTATTTTCTGTCTTTTTGTTTCCAAACTGTCTGCTCCTTTATATTTAAAGTGTGTATTTTGTATTACACACTTTTTTTTTTTCAGTACCAGGGATCGAACTCAGGACCTTGCGCTTGTGAGGCAGGTGGCGGAACCATGGAGCTAAATCCTCAGCCTTGTATTACATACTTTAAAAAAACAAGGGCTGATATTATTTTTTAATTTGACCATTTTATGAATTATGATATATTTGAGTTTAAGTACAAGAGAACACGGTTTTCTCTTCAACTTGTCTGTTCTGTGTTCCTTTTTTCTCTCTTTTCTTTTTCTTTTTCTTTTGGTACCGGAGATCAAACTTGGAACCTTGTGCTTGCAAAGCGGGTGGCGGAACCAGTGAGCTAAATCCCTAGCCCTTTTATCTCTTTTCTTGACAACTTTTGGATTAAGTATTTTTTAGAATTCTGTTCCTGCCTGTTAGCTAGTTAGCTGTGCATTCTTTCAGAATTCTCTCTGTGGTTTTCAATATGCGTCTCTGACTTACTGAAATACTTTTACTACTTCTTGATATTTTAATTTCATTTACTGCTTGTATACAGCTATATGGATATATAACTTACCTATTATTGTTATCATGCTTTTAAGTATTATATCTGTAAATATTTCATTGCCCAGGAAACTTTACCATTTCTCTACAACGTCAGTGTTTAGTGACTCCTTTTTTTTTTTTTTTAAACTGGGGATCGAACTCAGGTCCTTGAGCTTGCAAGGCAGGTGGTGGAACCACTGAGCTAAATTCCCGGCTCTCACCATCAGTGTTCAGAGTTACCCACTCTTGCTGTTGCTCTTCAACTCTTTCTGCTTCTCCATGCTTCCATCTGGGAATAATTTTCCTTCTCCCTCAAGAACTCTCTTTGGTGTTTCCTTTCTTCAGTTTTTTTGTTGAAGTATGATTGGGGTGTTTCCCAGGGTCTCTTGTTCTCAGTGGATCCTGAACTCCAGTTTTCGTTCTCCAGTCCTATAAGACCACCTAGTTGCTCAGCCTTTGGGCCACTCTTGTGACTCAGTAAGTGCTTCAAGGAGGAAAGCTGCTCCTTGTTGACATCACTCTCCATATTCCCTTCTTGGCAGGATCTTTACCCTTGAAGTCCTCACAGCTTTTATATTTCTCCAGTGTCTTTGCACAGATGTTTTATTAATATATCAACTCACACTTTTTCCTACTGGGAAGGTTCTTCTGCTGCAAGATAATTTGTCATTATTGGGACTGGAAATCTTGCCAGTTGTTTACTTAATTTTGCAATCCTGACTAATGTCTGGGGAATGGTGAGCGTGTATAACTCAAAGATAATATTATCAACGTTGCTTTTGTATTCTTCTATTACAGATGGATGTCCATGTGGCTCTATGCTTATGCACAGACACACAATTACGTACATGTAAAAACATATATTGTATATATGTGAAACAAATGCATGTCAAGACACAGAGAGGATTTTTTCTCCTTAACTCTCCAGAGAAAGTGTAGAATATTCTTGCTTGTCAGCATATAAAGCCTTACATTATTGTTTTCCAAATTAGTTTTGTGGTCTATGAATGTTTCATATGATGTTAATAAATTTGCTTTGCTAAAATGGTGCCAACATCAACAAATTTGGATAAATGTACTTGGAATCCTCTCCCTGGAGAACTCTGCCACTCACAGGCATGTTAAAGACTCTGAAACATGTAAATACATTTATTTGAATATTACATTCTTTTTTGCAAGAATTCCTATTCCCATCTTGTGGAGTACTCAGACTCTGTAGGTAAATCTGAGGAAACATTGGTTTTAGCAAACCGCAATGCACAAAAACTTCACAAAGATGAAGCATTGCTCAGTGCTTTCTCAAGTGTGGATACTCTAAGCAGAGTCAGAAAGTGTGAGCATCAGGTGTGGGTTTAGAGGGCTCAAACCCCTCTGCTACTCAGTAGCTAAAACAAGGCAGAACTTGGGGGTACATTCCTGGCTCTTTGTGGTTCCAGGAGTGGAGCCATCTGGTTGGTTCTCTTTGTATCAGCCCGGCTTAGCATGGGGCCCCTATTTGTGTTGGTGGAAACTGACTTTTGACTTTCAAAAGACCAAACTCGCCCTTACTTCACCTACCTTTTGGAGCTCTTGCTGCTCCCCTGTGCAGGTGAGAGGGTGAGGTGGTTGTGATGGAATACACAGAACTTCTGCTCAGCAGCCAAGAGGCCTGGGTTCAAGTCCTGGTGCTGACTGACCTTGGGAGAGTTAACCATGGAGTAGTGGTGAGAGCATATGGGCTTTGATGTCAGACACACTTGGGCCTTTTACTGTCTTGCTGTGTGATCATGGGCACGTCATTTTACCTTCCTGCCCCCCAGCTTCCTCACTCGGTGGGGAGAAGGAAATAAGATAATGCATGTCAAGTACAAACCTGGAACATGGCAGGCACCTGGCAAATGTCAATTGTCATACTTCATCCACACCTGAGTCCTTCATCTGAAGAGAACCCTGCCTTTCATGATGCTTGAGGATCAAAGAGAACATTGAATGTGAGAAAAGAGTTTTGTAAACTCTCGGAGACAAAGGAAAGTCCAGGCAGTTTTCATTACTGCCCTGGATGCTGCCTCATCCCTTCTGGCTTGGCAGGGCTGGCTGTGGAGACCACACCAGCTTCCTTCCCTACTCTCAGACAGAACCATTTCTCCGTAATAGAACATTGGCAAGAAGATGTCCTGTCAGCAGTTCATTGCCAACCTGGACCAGCTGAATGATGGCCAAGACTTTTCCAAAGACCTCCTGAAGGTATTACTCGCTTAGGGTCCATGTGTCCATAGGTGTGCAATGGGTGGGTGGAGAGAAGTCTCTGGCCCACTAAATCCTGGCATTCCAGGACCTTAACACCAGGGGCAGGGCCACCAGGACTTTGAGACAGAGTTAGATATCATCCAGCTCAATTGTTCTGTGTTTCCTGAGTTAGTTAGGCTTTGTGAGATTTGTTTTTGATGCTACAATTATTAATGTTGCCGTCACAGTAAATAATCATCACTATCACCAGTAGTCACATCACCACCTCCTTTACCACTACCAGTACCTTCATCATAACCATCATCATTGGCACAATGGGGAGAAGCCCACTCATTCCTACAACATCACCAGGAATTAAAGGAATCAATTTTCTTTTGAGGCTTAAGCCTGGAGTAGACCTCTGATCTTTCCAGCCTAGTAAGTTCTCTATCTTGGAGGAAGAAAAATAGCTTTGTTTTGGAGCAGCCACTCAGTCATTCACCTTACCACATACCCACTCTTTCACCCACCACTCATACCTTCACTCCCAAACATTGTCCCATACACCAACCTCTCACTTGTATACCTACCTTACCTATCCATTTCCCTATACATCTATGTACTCACTCATCTTCCCATTTCTGTCTGCCAATCCATCTATCCATCCATCCATCCATCCATCCTGCTGAAAATTAGTAAATGTTCAGCATGGATTATGTGCTGGAGATTCAGTGGTGAACAAGATAGGCAACTCCTGATGTTGTGAAGCTTATTGTCTCCTGGAGGGACAGACAGTAAATGATTGCACCACTAAATGCAACCCATCCACTCATTTACCCATACAATAAATATGAATCAAATACCTACTCTGCCCATTAGCTGAAAAGGTGCTCCCTCACTGCACCCACATTGCTAGAGTAGATAGGGATTTCTTTGACTCTTTTCTTGAACTCCTCTCTTCCAGACCCTTTACAACTCCATCAAGAATGAAAAGCTGGAATGGGCTATGTGAGTAGTGCCCGTGGGCACAGGTACTGAGAGATTGAACTTAGAGAGGGAGTAGCTGGGGGTGCTGATTAGTCATGCAGACCACTCTCCATGGTGCTGATCCCTCTCAATCCAGGCCCCCAATAACCCCCTGTACAGCTGGCTAACATATATCTTTGAGTTCCTTTTTGGGTTCTTTCTTGTTAAACAGTGTATGCTGTTTACATTGCTTTCAAATAGACTGAACTGTGAATTTAGTTCCATGATATCCATAGTTGGCTTTCTGTACTGAGGATATTTCCAAATTCCCAACAGTGATAGCACTTTCCCCTTTGGGAGGTAGGCAGGCAGGAGGCACAGGTCTCCTACAACCCTGAGAACATGACTATGTTTAGATGATGACTGGTCTTGGAAGTGGGGAGGGCAACTGTCACTTACCTTTCCCTATGTGGTCAGTGAGATCTGGAGGTGCTCAGGCATCTGGAGAAAGGGGTGGAGACCTTGCTGGTTGGAGAAGCTATGAGACACTTTAGAGGGAACCCCTCCCTGCCCTGCTCCCCAGGGAAGCCTGTGGCTTTGGGTCTGTGTACAGGCTTAGGGACCTCAGTTCCTTTGGAAAAGCTAGACTTTTCTACCGGGATCCCATGGTGAGCCCAGACTTTATGAGCCTTGCCTACTGACCTGGCCTCTGTCAGCATGAGGTGGTCTGTCTGCCCACACTGGCTCACAGAGGGTGGCTGATGAGAGAGGACATGTGATATGGGGATGAGGGATCCCTTGAGGTGGTGCTCAAGCCTGGTACCTTCCTAGTGATGAGGATGAGCTGAGGAAATCCCTGTCTGAGCTGGTGGATGACAAGTTTGGGACAGGCACAAAGAAGGTGACACGGATCCTCGATGGTGGCAACCCCTTCCTGGATGTCCCTCAGGCTCTCAGTGCTACCACCTACAAGCATGGTGTGCTGACTCGGAAGACTCATGCTGACATGGATGGCAAGAGGAGTGGGTATCAGGCTGGGGAAAGGGGCATGGGGAGGGGTGTTGGCTCAGGGGCCCACCTCTCGGCCACTCCTTTGGGGATGCACATGCAGGTACACATGCAGGGGGAGGTAGGGTAGGAGAAACTGGAATGGGTGTTTGTGGCTGCATTACTTGTGCCCCCCTCCCCAGCACCCCGTGGGAAGCGTGGCTGGAAGAAATTCTACGCGGTGCTCAAGGGGACCATCCTGTACCTGCAGAAGGTGAGATTGCCCCAGAGTCCTTCCCAGGAAGTACCAGTTTAGACCCATCCAGCTTTTGCCTTGTGCTACTCAGGGGCTTTTGGGCAGGACCTGAACTTTAGGGGGTGTGGTCTGGGTCCTTCCTCCATCAGGGTCCTGACTCAGGCTCACTCAGGCTTTTGAACGTTTTGGGAGGGGTCTTTGAAATGCCCAGTGACTCTGTGGATACCTAGTGTGAGGCCTCTAGGACAGACGAGTAGAGGAGGAGGGTACCTAGAGTGATTCTTGTTGGGAAGCAGGGAGATGGAATGACAAAGGGAGAGAGTGAGAGGGAGTGGAACATGTGGGGCCATAAGCTAGGGCCTGGTAGTGACAGAGCCCCTGCTCCTCAGGATGAGTACAGGCCTGACAAAGCTCTGTCAGAGGGTGACCTGAAGAATGCCATTCGGGTGCATCATGCTCTGGCCACCAAGGCCTCTGACTACAGCAAGAAGTCCAATGTGCTCAAGCTGAAGACTGCTGACTGGAGGGTCTTCCTCTTCCAGGCCCCGTAAGTAGGAATCTGAACCCTTTGTTCTCACTAGGCTCAGGCCTTGCAGCATGGACGCTCTACACAGCCCTCCCCTGGTGGTCAAGGTCCCCACCTCAGCTTCCCATGCATAGCCGCCACAGAGCCAGTGTGTCCACTTGGCACAGGCCCACTGCTGCTTTGGGTCCTCCCAAGTGTGTACCCTCAGCATGCAGTGGAAACTGGTTAGAAATGGAATCTTGCTGGCCCCACCCTTGACCTACCAATAAGAAACTTTGGGGTGGGGCTCAGCAACTATGCTTTCACTAGCCCTGTCAGGGCTGCCGACATCCCTGAGTGATGGGGACAGTGGAGTCTTCACAAATCATCCTTGACTTCAAATCTGTGGTCAGGCAGGAAAGAGTCTGCCTACAGTTGACCTGTAACAGCTACCTTTCACTTCACTGTGCTTCATACCTCTGTGACTTGAAATTGAGTTTTCAGGTGTCAGATGAGCTTAAAAGGAGGGAGATGGGTAGGTGAGGTGGGGATAAGTGTAAGGGCTAGGCAGGTAGCAGGGGCAAGAGAGAAGGGCTTTGGGGACCACCACTTGCCCACTGCCCCCATGACCTTCCGAGCTCACGGGCTTCAGGGCCATCAGCTCTGTCTAGGTCCATTCCCCCACTGGCTCCACCACCCTGCCCTCCTTTCCCCATCTATGTAAAAGTATGAGTGCCCTTTCTGTGCCAGGCCTAATGCTGGGTACTGAGTGCTGGGCATTTGTGGGGGTAGGAAGTCCTATTGTCAGAAGCCGGCACCCTCCTCTCCCTTCCTGTCCCCAGGAGCAAGGAAGAAATGCTGTCCTGGATCCTGAGGATCAACCTGGTGGCTACCATCTTTTCAGCCCCAGCCTTCCCAGCTGCTGTCAACTCCATGAAGAAGTTCTGTCGGCCCCTGCTGCCCTCCTGCGCCACTCGTCTTTGCCAGGTACAAGTTCCTGGGTTTGTGATGCCACTGCCCAGGCTGCTGCCCCCAGCCCCCAGCCCCCATTTGACAGCACCACTCCAGTTGTTTCTCTAGGGGACCTGATCTTGGACTGAAGGACACCAGGAAAGGGCAGATATTCTCCCCGATTCCATGTGCCCCGTCCCCACTTACAGGTGCACAGACTAAGGCCACATGTCACACAGAGGCCAGCTATTTTGTGGTGGACAGCGTGGGTCACATCCCTGTGGTTGTTGTTTGCATCTGGTCATAAGTGTGAGAGGTTGTGTGTGTCACGGGGAGCTAGGGATAGGTGAGACTTGGCTGCCCTTGGTCCAGTGCTCTTTTTCTTTTTTTAACTTTAAAAGTATTATCAACACATTAACTGTAAAAATTAATGAGATTCACTGATATTTCCATACATGCATATATCATGCACTGGTCATGTCCATCTACTCTTCCACCCTCACCCACTCTTCCTACGCTGTCCCCCCAACCCTCTTCCCATTCCCTAGGGAACCCTTTTTCAGTTTCTACAAATTAGTGAGGACATGAAATACTTGTCTTTCTGTGTCTAGCTTATTTTACTTAATATGATAGAATTTTATTCTTCTTTATGGGTGAATAATACTCCATGGTGTGTATTTAACACCATATTTTCTTTATCCATTCATCTGTTGACGGGCATCTAGGCTGATTCCATATCTTGGCTTTTGTGAATGGTGCTGCAATAAACATGGGATGCAGGTGTCTCTTGTGCATGCGGACTTCATTTGCTTCAGATACATACCTAGGAGTGGGATGGCTAGTAGGTCTAGCTTTTGCTTTTTGGGGAGCCTCTGAACTGTTTTCCATTATGGCTATACTAATTTACATTCCTACTAACAGTATATAAGGGTTCCTTTTTCTCTACATCCTCGCCAGCATTTGTTATTTTTTGTTTTTAAAAAATAATGTCCAAAAATACTGTTTTGATGTTCTCACTTATCCTCAGATACTTTATTTGTATCCCTTAAAAGAACCCATCTCATCAGTACTGCAGGGTTCAGGGTATTTTTAGAGAGGAAAGGATAAGTAGTGGGGTGGAACTTGAGAGGCAGAGGGCTGGGGAGGCACCAAACTTCCTGTTTGTCACCCATTGGCTCCTTTCCCTTTGGGCCCTTGTCTTTCCATGGAACTCTGGAGGCTTCATATCTGCCCAGAGCACCTGTATGCACATGCACAAATACCTCTTCTACACACATGCACACACCACTGAAGCACACATGCGCACATGAGTACACGCACACCATGCACTCACACACGTGTCCACACACATGAGAATTTGCATACTGCACCAAGGGCCCTGGCTGCATGTACCGTAGTGGGTGGGATGTGATTCTACTTGTCTGACGTAGCTTATCTTTGGGTGCGATCCTGGAGCTGTGACTGTCGTGTGCATCTGAGGCTGAATGTGAGAGAATGTATGTGTTCTATGGAACCAGGGCTAACTGGGTCAGGCTGATGCTTGGCTCAATGTGTTTGTGTGCATGTGAGAGTTCCCAGGAGTTGAGCGTGTCTATGGAATGGAGTGTATATGGGCACATACTAGTGTAAGAGTCTGTCCACTCCCAAGGCTGCTGGGGCACCGAAGAGAGTGGATGCCCCTGAGAGCAAGGAGGAAGGTGGGAGGGAAGAAGGTTTGAGGAGCACTTCCATGGGTCCAGAGCCTGGCTTTACCTCCATGGGTTTGGCAACACTGGACAGCCTCCATTTCCCTTTTGTGAAGCAGCTCCTAGTGGTATGGGGTTAGACCCAGCCCCATGACTTCAAGAGTTGGGCCTTATGGTCCAGGGTTTGTCTTTGCAGGAGGAGCAGTTGCGGTCTCATGAGAATAAGTTGAGGCAGGTGACTGCCGAGCTGGCCGAGCACAGGTGTCACCCAGTGGAGAGGGGCCTCAAGTCCAAGGAGGCGGAGGAGTACCGGCTGAAGGAGCACTATCTCACGTTTGAGGTGGGCCTCCAGTGGGTGCATCTCAAGGGTTGAGGTTGGGACCAGAGGATGAGGCCAGTTCCCCCCAATCTGTACCTCCCACCACCTTCCACAGCCAGGGGCTCCTAGTTAGGGAGTTCCCTACTGTGGGTGCTCCCCAGAGGCAGGTATAATCTAATGATGAACCATGGGTTTTTTGCACAGCTCAGCTACCCAATTTTACACAGCTCAATTTTACAATTTTACACAGCTCAGCTGCCCAATGGTGATCAAACAATTGCATCTACACTTGGGTCTCTCCAAGAACACTAGGGCCTCCAACAGAAACAATACCAACTTCCAGGCACCTTCTAGAACCACCTTCACCTCCCATCCCAGACAGGCCCAGCTTCTTTAGAAGATTTTACAACTAGCCCACAAAACTCTCAAGCCCTGGCCACCTGACACCCTCCCTCACTGGTCTCATTTTCCTCTTGCTCGTATGTTTAGTAACAAAGCAACTTAACCTCTCTGCTTTTCATGCTGTCGCTGTCTACCCACTGCCCTGATTCTGCCTCACCATGCCCTGCGGCTGGGGCTGACCAGGCATAGCCTTTGTCAGGTGAAGGATCGGGGCCCAGGTTGGGGAAGGAAGCAGGAAGCACTTGTCCGTTGTGGACTGCCCTGCAGATGGGGGCAGTCAGACAGACAAACGGAAAGGCTGAGACTGAGCCAGGAAGTTCTCAGAGCAGGAGGGGCAGGACATCACCAATCTCAACCTCTAGATTTCCATGTTAACTTTCTATTGAGGTGTGGGGCAGAGAAGAGAGTTCCCAAGGTAGACCCTGACCTTTTGAAAAACAGAAAGCTTGATAGCATTTTGAAGTCTGCTCACATCTACGCTCTGCAGTGTAAAAATAGTGATGGCCAAAGCTACAGTGACCGATCTTTTGCTAAATGCTAGGCCTGATTCTCCTTTCCCTTTAGGGACTGATTTCATCCTTGAACCAACTCTATGAAAAGGACTGTGTTGTTATCTCCATTTTATAGGTGGGGAAACTGAGGCTCAGAGAAGTCAGAGTACTTAGAAGTGACACTGCTAAGAAATGCAGGAGTCGGGATTCTAACGTAGATGATCGTAGCTTCAGTGTACTGTCCTCTCAGTCTCACCTGGCATGATGTAGGGGTAGGAGGAGGTGAAGCAAGAAAGGTCTCGCTGCTGTGGCAGAGCTGGGGGAGAGAAGATTCCTGGCCCTTAGTGCCTGGTCCTTCAGGAAACGTGGCTTTCCTGACTCTGGTGAGGCTCTGAAGTTGAGACAAGACCCTCAGATATTGCTAAATCTCTCTCCTAATGTCAGTACCAGTTAATAACCCCTTTAGTAGTGTATTAATAGTTATTTCCCCATATCCTCACCACCTTTTGGGATTGTCCAATGTTTAATCTTTGCTAATCTGACAGGTTTAATAATCAATGTTGTTACTATTTTAATTTAGGTTTTTATTTTCTCAAACTGAAATTCTGTGCCCATTAAACAATAACTCCTGTCCCCATTCCCTTAGCCCCTGACAACTACCCATCTAATGTCTACCTCTATGGGTTTGTTTGTTTTTTTTTTTGGTACTAGGGATTGAATCCAGGACCTTGTGCTTGCTTTGCCACTGAGCTACATTCCCAGTCTTTTTTTTTGAAAGTGAGTCTTACTAAATTCCTCAGGCTGTCTTCAAACTTGGGACCCTTCTGCCTCAGCTTCACAAAGCTGGGGTTACAGCTGTGTTCCACTGTATCCAGTGTTTTTCTATGACGTTGAGTGCTCCTTATTCCTTATATATGTGGAATCATGCAGAACTTGTCTTTTTGTGATTAGCTTATATATTTTAGCATAATGCTAGGGTTCACCTATGTTTTAGCATGCTTCAGAATTTGCTTCCTTTATTATTTAGCATGCTAAATAATATTCCATCATATGCATATAATCATTTTGTTTTTTCATTCATCAGTCGATGGACATTTGGGTTGCTCCATCATTTAGCTATTATGACTCATGCTATAATAAACATAAAGATGCTGCTTTCATTTCTTTTGGATATATAACCAGAAGTGGTATTGTTGGATCAGAATGTAATTCTATTTTTAACTTTTTCAGAAACCATTACTGATTTCATAGCAGCTGCACAATTTTACAATCTCACCAGCAGTGTACAGGGGTTCCAAATTCTTTACCTCCTCACCAACACTTCTGTGTTGTTTTTCATTGCCAGAGTAATGGGCATGGCATGTTATCTCTGTGGTTTTGATTTGCATCTTCTTAGTGTTTAGTGATGAACATATTTGTGGGCATTTGTTGTCCCTTGTATATCTTCTTTGAAGAAATATCTATTCCTGTCATTTGCTCATTTTTAAATTGGGTTGTTATTTTTTTGGTGTTGAATTGTAGGTGATCTTTATATATTTGGGGTATCAACCCTTACCAAATATGTGATTTTAAAATATTTTCACCCATTCGGTAGGTTGATGTTTAACTCTGTTGGTTGTATCCTTTAATGTACAGAAGTTTCATTTTTTTGGTACCGGGGATCGAACTTGGGTCCTTCTGCTTGCGCAGCAGGCGGTGAAACCACTGAGCTAAATCCCCGGCCCCTTAGAAGTTTTATGTTTTGATACATGTCTTACTTTTCTCATTGGTGAGATAAAATGCTCAACACCCACAAATTAAGGGAGGAAAGGTTTATTTGGCTCACAGTGTGTAGAGGTTTCAGTCCATAGTTGGCTGGCTCCAAGGCAGAGTGGCACATGGCAGAGGGGCATCAAAGAGGAGAAAATAGCTCATGGCAGGCAGAAAGTAGCAAAGCAACAAAAGGGCCTTACCAGTGTCTTTTGGGCCCCTTCATCTTATCCAGACTACTTAGGGCAGGTAGCACTCACACTCTTAATCCTAGTGCCTGTGATCCTAGCATTGCACCATGAATCAATCCCAGTGTCACACACTCTAGATCCAGTCACCTCTGAAAATGCACCACCTATGACTGCTTGAGGCTTTGGGGGGACATCTAGACACAAGCCACAGGAATGCAGTACTATTTTGTCTATTTTTATTTTTGTGGCTTGTGCTTTTGGTGTCACAGCCAAAAAAAATCATTGACAATTATTTGCATTTTTCAAAATTGGGAGTGAAATTTCTATGCCTATCCCTTGCTTATTTTTATTGAACAGTTTATTTTCCTTTTATTGGTTTGTGAGAACTCTCTGTATGTTAGTCTTTGGTTATACAAGATACAAATAATTTTTTCAATTTTATTATATGTCTTTTGACCTTGTTTTTGGCCTTTTTCTGCCCTGTCCCCAGAAAAGTCGTTATGAGACCTACATCCATCTTCTGGCTGTGAAAATCAAAGTGGGCTCAGATGATCTGGAGCGGATTGAGGCTCGCCTGGCCACCCTAGAAGGGGATGATCCTTCTCTCCGGAAGACACACTCGAGCCCTGCCCTCAGCCAGGGGCATGGGCCTATGACTTGCAGCAAAGCCACTGGGGCTGATACTTAACCAGTGTGAATGTGCAGGCAAATGCCCCCAGAGGGGTCACTGAGCACAATCCTGGCCAGTGGCTGCTCAGACCAAGTTCTAGGCAGTTGACAGGCAACCAGAGGGGTGTGGAGAGCCCTGTGGGCCAAGGAGATGGAGATGCTACTCATGGCTTTGGGCTTCTTTCATCCTGGGCCATCGCTGGCCATGACTCTCTCCCCAGCCCTCATTGCCTGCCCCACATGGGGCCTCACTTTGTAGGCCAGGGCATGAATGCTCTAGCACCTTCTCACTGGAGAGACTGGGAGGACTGCTGCTTCCCCAGGCCCCTCTTCTGGCTGAGCTCCTCCCTCATCCCATGTTTGTGAGGGTGGGCCTGGACTCTGGAGCTCAGCTTGGACCCCTTGTCCCTTTTTCCTCCTCCATCCTCTGAATTGACCAGCCACAGGTCCGTGGACCACCAGCACTGTCCTTTCCTCCTCCTCCCAGCCACCTCTGCAGGCTGGCGCAGTTCTCCTTCCTCACATGACAATAACCCAGGATGTGGGCTGCCTCAGTGCCAAGCAGACTCTGCTCACGTGTGCACCCAGCTCTCCTCCCATCCATGGAGGCCACTACTGCCTCCATTTTTATATAGACATAAATGTACATATATAAATATATATAAATTATATATAGAGAAGGAACCCTTTTAAAGATGGTTTTGGAACTGCTATCATCAGTTGGAGGATGAAATCAGATGAAGGAAAAGCCTATTTTGGAGCTCTGTGTGTCTGCCAGAAGGGCTGCCACGTGGCCCTCGGTGGCCCTCACACTCCAGGAGGGAAGATGGAGAGAGTGCTGACTTCCCCCACCCTGTCTTTTCCCCTTCCGGCTGACCTGTGACTCACAACTGTTGTTCCAGTTGATGGTTTTGGACTAAACAGACAAGACATGTGTGTGCCATCCCCTCTGTTGTAAGGGTGTCCTGGGGGTGAATGGGGTGGGACCATGGCCCTGTTGGTACTTAAGTCTTTATGTTGGTGCTGCCAGGTCTCTGAGCTCCAGAGGTAGCCTCTTGTACAGATCAACTTCGCAGGAATAAAAGACACTCCACCTTGCAGAAAGCCACCTGTCAACAGCCCAAAGATGTGTGATGGAGGAAGGTTCTGGAAGCCATTAGTTCTTGGTCTTAGGAAAAGGTGGAATGACAAGTTGCTGATTGTTGATGTTTCTTTCATTTTCCTAGGGAATAAAAAAGGCTTAGCTAAGGATATATGTGGGAAGAATAGAGACATTTACTACATTCCCACCAGAAAATTAAACCTGTATTCCTCAGACCAACAAGTGGATGGGGTGAAGGCACCCTTCTTCCTAATGTTTAAATAGATTCTGTAGTTTGGCCAGCAGTTTGACCTCTGTGGTAACATATTTAGTTAATAAGATAAGCCAACCTTGAAACTAAGTACTTAACATTTACAAGCCCACTCACATTTGATGCAGGAACATGTGACTAGGTGGAGAGATGTAGTGATTTAAATCCACATTATTTAACTTGGATGAGCGGAAGTGTTTTATAACCAAACCATCTGGTCCTTTCATTTTGCTCAAGGGAAGTCAATGTTCATTTAAATGGAATTGAAAAGGCAATATGACAACATAAAAAACCTCACTGTATTTCTCCACACTGCCTCCAAGGTTCTTTGATTTTTGGTCCATATCCCTCCTACCACTTCATGAGGGTGAGTGCTAACAACAGAGCGTGAGCTCTGTCAGCTTCAAACAGATGTGCTTCCCTGAGCACTAGCTGTGCCTCCCATCAGTAAAGAAAATTTTAGTTAGCCTCCTTAATTGTATAGTAATTTATTTGTAAATTATATACATGTACTACTGTACTAAAATACTATGTACATATAAAACATACACAAAAAATAGAAATTTTAAAAAAGAGGAGATGAAAATAAATCTAAATCAAAGTTCTACTATTTTTTTCCTGTATTCTAATGGACCATCATGTTCCCCCTACAACTTCTGCCCCAATACGCTCATTTTCTAGGACTATCCAAATCCAGGCCCTGGTGAAATGCAATAAGTGGTTTGCGCCACCTGGTGGTCCAGCATAGTGGCCGCGGGCTCATGACTCCTATGGGGGCTGACCCTTTTGTGCTTTGATTCTGGACTTCATTGAGGATCAGATGCTTGTTGCCCACTGTGCTGGGGACAGTGTGATGAGGAATAAGTTTGACCAGCTACCTGTCCTCATGGGGCCCAATCTAGTGGGGAAAGAGACAGGTAGTTACTATTTGGGATGCTGGGAAGGGCTGAGGTGAGACACCAAAAGTGACCCAGTAGAGGGGAAAAAAGAACATCGAGAGTAGGGAGGAAAACTGACTCTGGAAGCCACCCAAATGCCCTACATGTAACAGGCTACAGGGTGGTGGAAGGGAACTTGTGTAACAGGAGTGTAGCACTTCCTGAAAGGCCATGTTAAAGGTCTCCCAAGGCAGACACTTGAGAGGCAGAGTGGAGAGGGGTCTCTAGTCAACATGTTCTCAGGTCCCAGGCATTCCTGTGAAACATATGGATAGATGACATGATGGAGAAGCACCAAGGAATTTTATTAGATTGTGGCCTTAGATTCTTGGCCAAGTATGACAGGTATCCTAGAATCCAGGGCAGATAATGAAGATATCAAGTGGGGTTGTGTAAAGGTCAAAGAGTTCACCAAGAGGTCATTCTGAATAATAGGGGACCACATGGAGATTGGTGAGTTGAGCCCCCAAAGGATTAAATGAGGACACTAAAGTGGGTCATGATAAAGTCAGTGGGTTTACCAAGAGGTCATAGAGAGTTAATCTGGGATCCCGTAGAGGTCAGTGGTCACAAAGAATTATTGGCTCTCAGAAAATTTTTAAGCAAACTCAGAGCAGGGGGCCCTGGAGGAGACTATTGGGTGGGACCCACAAGAGGGCAATGATTTTCAGGTTTGTGCAGGATTTCGTTCATTATTTTCCTTCGTTCCTTTGTAATAGGTATTTCCCCCAGTGTTCCTACAATGAGTACAATAACAAAGGCCTTCCTTTATTTTTCTCCACCTCCTCCGTCTCATTCAGTGTTTGCCACTCTGTGCAATTCAAGGATGCAAGGCACAGGATACTGTCAACACTGCCACTGAAGTAGTCACTTACTAGACATTTCCCAGGAGCAGTATTAGCATATCCACAGCAACCCTTTGAGGTAGGTGTTTGCATCATCATTCATGTGGAGGAAACCTCCGCCTAGGAAAGTCACACAACTAGTAATGGAGAAGAGCTGGCACTGGAACAAACTCAGGCCCTATTGGTGCCTAGGCCCCCTCAACCATGAACCTCTGTTCCTCCTGCGGGTCTCTTGACTAAAACCCTTGGGGCAATCACGGGTGTGCATGTGTGTGCGCACTTCTGTCCACCCACACAGCCACAGGTGGGCACAGCTCTTAGGAGAGAAGACTTTCTCATGTTCTGACTGGAACCCTACTGGTTCCTGGTGCTGGGCACTGGTTTAATAAATTAGCCAATGAGGGGATAAGTCTGGACCTTCATTTGCTTTCTCCATGCCTGGAATCATGTACCCTTCATCAGGGGCTGTGGGTTTAGACAGGCCCTGCCTTGGAGGGGATATAAAGTTGGGGAAAGAGCAATATCCTGTGGGCTTTTGAGCTGTAGTTGCTGTGGTCTTCCTGATAGTGAGGGGACCCATTACGGTGCCTAGCATGTCTGGACTTTGCCTGTGATGTGACCAAGACCCCAAGGGTCATTTTGCTCAGCTGCCCCAGGGCCAACTTTACAACCCTTCCCTCCTCAACTACTCAGGTCTGGAAATTGTTGCCTCAGTCCAGCCCCATTGTCTCAGGGCAGGAACTGGGCCCCAGTTCTAAGACTGAGTTTGAAGCAGAGCAGCAATTCGTGTCAGTCTCTTGGCCAGGTTCCCTAGCAGCCAGGGTGGACAACCTGTAAATGTTTTTGGAAAGGGGAGGAGGGTTGGAGTGTGTCCTGGGAGCTGGGGCCAGGCAGATTAGAGAGAGGGTCACTTCCTCCCAGATTGTCCTGGCCCTCTCCAGCCTTCACTGACTGCAACATCCATTCCCCTTTACCACAGTCCTCATCTGTCCTCCCTTCTTAACTGGAGGCTAGGCACACACAGTCAAACAGCAGGTATTTCTGATTTTATTTATAATATAAAAATGTTCAAGTGTCAACAGTCAGGTGTTCGGACATTTCAGGGCAGGGTTCCCATTTGTTTCTGTTTGGGATTTTTTTTTTAAACAATTGCCTATTTTTTTTTTTTTTCTGACAAATTAGCATTGGATCTAGTTTTGAGGGTTGGGGAGGGCAAGACTGGAGAGGGAATGGAAGTCACAGGTGGGTTGGGGGCTGGCTATGAGAAGGAAATGGTGTTATTGCTAAAAGGGGAACAGAATATACTGTGAAGTGGCTCTTCTCCGTCCCAGCGTGACCATGCATCCAATCTAAAGAATCTGAAATGCAAAGGACATGCAGGCATAAAATAGAAAAAACGACCTGTAAACAAAGGTGCTGCGGAGGACAGAGGGCATCCTGGAGGCCTAAGGGGAGGAGGAGGCGTGAACATTGGGCCCCTGCAGAGATGCCCCCTCCCTGGGCCCGCGGCTGTTGAGGGAACTTCTCTGTTCCCTTTTAGCAGCTGTGAAGAGCGGGGAGGATCCCTCCCCATTCAGGTTGCTGTCGCTGGGCCTTTTTCATTCCCTGGAAGTCACCTGACAGCAATTCCAGCTCTAAGATTAGGATCCTGCCCTCTCCTCCCAGGGGGCCCAGGACTCCAGATGTGGCCCGGAGGCAAAGCTACTTTTGACCTCAGTTTCTTGCTCACCGCCTACCACCCTACCAGAACCCCCCGGCCCCGCCCCCAGCCTCTTCTTTCCGAGCTCTCTCACCCCCAACCAACTCGGGATCCACCCCAGCCCAACTCCACGGAACACAGACTTCTCTCCAGGAGCCCCAGAGTAGCGTACAGCAAAAGGCACCACAATATAGGTTTCTATTAAAGAGTCAAAAAATTGGCCCATCTCTCTTTTTTTTGTTTCTTTTTTTTCTGAAGCTGTAAATCAGGATGTTACATATAAATAGTTTCCCTATAAAAACGTCTTTGCCGTTAGCTAGAATTATAAGACAATTTTTGCTAAAATGAAAATAAAACATTTTGTTATACTTTTTTCCTTTTATAGAAAATAAAAATATTTTTATTTCTTTTTTGCCCTCCTTGCTCTCTCCAGTCGTTGGTCTCTGGTCTCCGTCCAGACAGTGGGGCGCGCGGGCGGGCGGCGGGGGCGGCGGGCCCTAGAGAGGCGCCGAGTCCTGCTTGGCCCGCGGCGGAGGCCCGCGGCTGTGTCTGCTGCTGGCCCGCGTGCTGTGGCTGTCCAGGGAGTAGTAAGTCCTGCTGTCCGCCGCCGGGCACAGCGGCGGCGAGTCCGAGCGCAGCGCATCGTGCGCCGCACGCAGGCCGAGGAAAGGCGTGCTCTCGGCAGCCAGCGCCCCGTCCGCGTCGTCGTCCGAGGCCGAGCCGCCGCCCGAGCCGCTGCTCAGCGACAGCGAGTCCCGCGCCGCGCGTGCGCGCTGCGCCGCCAGCCCGTTGAGGCGCGAGCGGCGCCAGCGCCGGGGCCCCGCCGACGTCCTGCGGGACGCGCCTCGCGCGCGCGGCCGCGGCGGTGGCGGGGGCGCGCACTCCTGCGTGGTCTCGTACTCGTCGTCCTCGGGGATGCGGAAGGGGCTGGCGGGCAGGCTGCCCAGGCTGCCGCCGAGCGCGCAGGCCCCGCGTCTAGGCCCGGGCCCGGGGTAGTAGTAGCTGTCGTAGCTGCGCTGCATGTCCGCGCCGGGTCCCGGCCCTGGCCCGGGGCCGGGCGGTGCCGGGTGCCGCAGGAGCGGCTGCTGCTCCGCTAGGCGGTAGCTGATGGGCGCGGCTGGCGGCAGCGAAACGGCGTGCGCTGAGTTGGGCGACGTGATCTCGAAAGTTGGCACCTGCGTGGCCAGGGAGTAGTGGAAGTCCACGGGCGAGAGACGTGCGGGCGTGGTCAGGGCCGACACGTACCTGCGGGAGAGGCAGAGGCGTGGGCCAGGGGTCGAGGGTGGTGGTGGGGGAGCGCGAACCTGACCTGAAGTAACCTTTTTGCTAGGGAGCCTGCGGGTAATTCTTAGTGGCTTCATCCCCCACCAGTCCCTTACTGTTACACGATGATAACCATCGTGATGTTGAGGTGTTTCTAAAAATGTATTGGAAATGGGTCAGCTCCTAGTAAGTCTCCGTGAGCAGTCTTTTGCTGTGGCGATGCTCACAGTCATGGGTTCAAGCTGGGGCATTTTACGTGTGGTCTCATCTAATACAGCAATTCTGTAAGACTCTTAGGGGCACACTATACACATAAAACCGAGACACAGGACATTTAAGTGTCATACTCAAGATTCACGTAGCTAGGAAGTGGAGAGCTAGCATTTGAACTGAGGCCAGGTAGGAACCAGGACACATAATGTTCAATTCCAGAATTCACTAGTCCTCTTTCAGATACCTTTTTATCTGAACTCACTGTGCTCCAGACAGTCCAGCCCTGGCCTCATGGCTTCAATGAGGAACCCCCCACCCCATACACTGAGATATGAACTCAGGAGCTACCACTGAGCTACACCCCCAGTCCCCCACCCCCCCTTTTGAGGCAAGGTCTTGCTATGTAGGTGAAGGCTGGCCTGGAACTCCCCTGATCCTCTTGCATCAGCCTCCCACCTGCTGGGATTACACACATGCGCCACCATGGCCCTTTTTTTTTTTTTCTTTTGGTACTGAGGATTGAACTCAGGTCCTTGTGCTTATGAGGCAGGCAGCGGAACCACTGAACTAAATCCCCGGCCCTAAGTTCTGTGTATTCAATCTTTTTTTTTTCTTTTTTTTTTTTTGAGATAGGGTCTCACTATGTAGCCCAGGCTGGCCTCAATCTCATTGTGATCCTCTTGCCTCAGCCTCCCACCTGCTGGGATTACAGGCGTGCACCACCACACCCAGCTATATATTTCATCTTTTTGTTGTTGTTGTTTTTTATATTTAATCTTGAAGAGGTCCATCTTGGAGCCTGGTGTTGTGTCTGGAAGTGTCTCACTGGTGTTGAAGTGTATCCCTACCATGCTGCAGGCCGTTTCCGTCCCCTCTTGCTGAAGTTGAAGCCTCTTTCTTATGTAACAGGTCTTCTTCTTTCCTTGGTTTGTTCTCTTATTTTTGATGGAATATATTATTCAGGAAATATGTTTATGTTATATACGTGTCTGAAAAGATATTTGTTCTGCTATATAACCAAACCACAGTGTCTAGTCGGAAACGTTTCCCCTCAGAATTCTTACCCGCATCACGGTTTATGTTATCCTGTCCAGAGCTGCAGTTGCGAAGTCTCATGTCCTCTCAAACTGGCCTCAAAGGCGAAGCGATCCTCCTGCTTCAGCCTCCTGAGTGCTGGGGTTACAGGCGTGCACCACCATGCCTCTAATAGTACTTGTGATCATACACAGTGAGTATGAAATTAAAGCTGAGGTTTATTTTTTTAATTGTTATTTTTAAAGAGTCATCTATCTTCAGTGGACAGTCCCATGAGTTTTGGCAAGTGAATAGCCTATTAAATATGACTATTATAGTCTGTAGGCAAGTGAATAGTCAAATAAAATGACCATTCTATGCATATGTGTGTATATATATATATATA